GAGCTACAGCAGAGCGAAATGAGCAGCACAATTTCCCTGGGCCGCGACAGCGCTCTTTGCCATCCGAATGTCAAGCAAGTATACGGCTATTTCAGTGGTAGCTCTGGGAGAAGGTGAGCGTCTCTCGATCGTTATTATCACACATGAGGAGTCGTACTAGGCTATTCTTCTGGCTCTTTGAATCTCGCTCCGACCCAGCTCAAGACCCTCTCATTCTCTGGCTCAACGGGGGGCCTGGCTGCAGCAGCATGATAGGACTCTTCAAGGAGAATGGACCTTGCAGATTCAATGATACTGATTACAGCGAGTGAGAGACAGCTCCTCAGGAACACTTCTCACTCATTTACCGGGTTGGAGTATGTTGACTGTCAGCCTGTCTTGGAACGAACAAGCCAACCTTCTTTATGTCGACCAACCTGCAGGAACAGGATTCTCGGTTGGACCACCCGTTACCAATGGCTCATTTGAGGCCGCCGACGACTTGTAGAACTTGGGGAGGGCACTTGTACAATCCACAAGATGCCTATCGTATTATGTATGTGTTTGGAAGCCTCATTTCGAAGGTACATGGCCCTACAAGAGTTCTTTGCTAAGCATACCAAGTATGGAGGCAAAGATTTCTACATTACCGGGGAGGACTATGCTGGTAACCGTGACAGGTTACCGGAATATCATCCCAACTACTCAGGTCACTACATACCTGCCATAGCTCATAAGATATGGCGTGAGAACACTAAAGGGATCGAGCCTCATATCAACCTTCGTGGACTGGCAATCGGGAATGGATGGATGAATGCCGCAATCCAGTGGATGTTCCTGTGTTGAGGACGTCATGAAGTTTTGCTTCTACTTTCAGGGTCCGCGACTACCCAGCGATGGCATTCAATAGCTGTACGGCTCCAAATAGCATAACGCACAAAGAGTACGAGAATAACACGTAGTTACCTGTAGATGATTACCGTCAGATATTTGACGATGAGTAAAGCCGTTGAGGAATGCTCGAAAAACATAGCAAGCTGCTTGACTGGCGAGAACGAAGGAAGTCCTCTCTGGGAGGGCTAACTACGCCGACTCCTTAGGTTCAGTTGCTCTAAGTTAGAGCCTCTAACTCATTTCATTGCATTAAACGCACGGCGCTCATCGAAACTCATCTCTCGTTCGGATCGAATGATTCGGTTCATACGCATGGAAAGGGGAATATGCTCGTCGAAGTAATTCTTTCTCAGATACGACCTGCGCGTCCAATATGCTATGCAATTTCGACGCCCCTCTGCTTCCATTACATAAGCGAAACATCAGCATGTACGTCGTAACTTATGTCCTGAATTGTGCTTGAATCCTCTAATAATGTTCATGACGGTGTGAGCAGCTCGCTGCATTTCAGATATAACTTGAGAATCACGAACAAGAATAAAGGTTCAGTCGAACAAGATCCAGTGGGTTGCTCGTTGTGCGGCGAGGAGCGCAGCCCCTCCAGTGTCTATCTGAGTTTGGAGCTCACGTGTCTCCTTTTAGTTGGAGATATATCTCAACCGAAAAGACATACAAAGGAGACTCGGAGTCGACAAGAAATTCTCAACCTGTTCAGACGTCAGGAATCCCTATGAGTTTTGGTTTTGATTTGATCAGAGATTTAAAGTTAGGTTGGAGATTTTTCCCTGGATCGCATAACACCCTTCGACTCACTTCTACCCGACTTGCTAGACGCCGAGATCAAGGTGAGTTACAGTGTAACTTGAGCCTCAAGTTATGCACAGTTCTGACACACAGTAATCCATTGTCCACTATTGCTGACCTTGACCTGGCAGCTCAACACGAGTGAGTGATATATATCTGCTATACTATATATATAGTGATATACTACTGACTGATGACTGAAAGCAATATGAGAGTGCTAAGTGCACTAATTACAACCACGGACTGTTCGCGCTTAAGCGTAGCTTTGCGCCCAGCATTGAGTTAGGAATCCTAACTTAGGATATCTTCGTTGCAACAATGCGACTCTTGGAATTGTAGAGGCTCATTTGGATTCGACTCAGTTTTGGTAAGGTTCTTCTATATGCCGGAGATCAAGACTACATATGTAATTGGATTGGTTTCGAGCATGTCGTGGATGCGATGGATTGGCCAGGCCGTGCTGCATTCCTCAGAGCTCCGCGTTATGAATATGGCGTAGGTGTGTACGCTGTTGGCCGGAAGATTCGATGCAAATTTTTCTGCTGGCAATCTTCGAGTCCTACGTTGTTGGGGGGATTCGTCTTTTCAGGGACGCTTCAGTGTCCCCGTTGGTTTACTCCGCAGTATCACTTGGAAGAGAAGGGGAATGCTAGGCTTCCTCCAAGTACGAAGTATTCAATACGCCACAACACTATTCCTATAGGTATACCAAGCTGGCCATTCCGTCCCCCTCGACCAGCCAGAAGCGGCTCACCTTATGATCTACGATTTTATCGATGGCGTTCCCGGTCCATTCCCTGGGAGCGAATGCGGCGAGGCGGAGCTCTAGCTCAAAATCTAGCTCCAACCGTTAGGGCGGTGCGGTTCAGTTATCAACTGCCACTGAGTACTTGCTCGTCTGTGTGTACCAAATAACTTCCCTATTTCGACGGTGAGAAATCTTCTTATACAGCGGAATCGATGGTTATGACGTTTCCAGATAGCGAATGTCGGTTTTTTCGTCTTTCCTGTCATGTAAGTAGATTCTCAAGCCACATTTCACGAGATTCCTCCTCACCCGTTTGCTCAGCATCGTTTCACATTCGAGGCCTGGAGTGTGTTAAATTCGAAGTCATAATCTGCTGCTATAACGCAAGGTCCACGTGGCTCCCCTGTGAACAAGACCTGGTAGAGGCTCCTCATTGAGGATGCGGCAGAATCATGCCAGAATGTCCGGCGGACATTGCCTAGAGCCCAGGCTCTTTGATTCAAAGAGCCAGCAGAATAGCCTAGTACGACTCCTCATGTGTGATAATAACGATCGAGAGACGCTCACCTTCTCCCACAACTACCACTGAAATAACCGTGTACTTGCTTGACATTCGGATGGCAAAGAGCGCTGTCGCGGCCCAGGGAAATTGTGCTGCTCGTTTCGCTCTGCTGTAGCTCGCTCTGAAACGGCTCGACTTTTCCCGATGCGACTGAGCAGAACCGAATGAATGACAGATCACGAATAACCCGGAGGATAGTCACACTCGGGCGGATGTTGAATCATTTGACCGTCAGCCCAGACAAACAGAGATAACAGGACGACGATAGCGCTGACGAAAGACATCATTGATTGGGTTATGATGGTGCTGAGCAGAGTAATGTGGCACGGAATGGGCGGACTGAGGCCTCTTCAGTAGACCCAGCAGACTCTCCTGAACTACGGCCCCTCCCCTTCGGTGAGCCACGCTTATAGAATAGCACTATGCTGCGGAGTCACTGGCCGATTCGAGAAAAGAACTCTGCAAAGGTGGCTCTTCTCCGCGTCTTGCACTACCGCGCGTGGGTTATTCGATGGAGCTCGTTCGCGTTCCAGATAGCGAAAGCTCCGCCGCGGAACTCGGTTTTTCCTCGAGAATGACTATACTCCGTCTTTCCTTCCATGTAAGCATAACTGCGAGCCACACTTCATGAGATTCCTTCTCACCCGTTTGCTCTCCATCATCTCACTTTCGAGGCCTGGAATGTGTTGAATTCGAAGTCATAATCTGCTGCTATGGCGTAAGGTCCACATGGCTCCCCTGCCAACTAGACCTGGTAGAAGCTCCTCATTGAGGATGCGGCAGAATGTCCGCCGCATCCTCGATCATCATTCTTCGCTCAGCGAAGTTCGCTGAAGCCATGAATCGTGATGTCATCTTCGTCACCGATATTCCGGACCTCATCCTCGATACGTTTTCCTTGGCGGGCTGTCAGTGACAGCAAGTTCCCAGAACGGAAACTTCCTGTCTCACCTTATGGGAGTCTGCTACATCGCATCTGATGCCTCCGCGATGCGGAGGACATGTACTCCGTGCAGCATACATCCTCATCATGGGGGTGACATGACTTGAGGACCTCATGTCCAGGTCCATCAATCCGAGGCGTCCGGAGTGCCTGCGTGCTCTACAAGAAGCTCACAGAGCATGGACACAGTGGACAACAGCACCTCCTCAATCACTGAATTTGGAAAGCATATCCACGAGTGGTACATATGGCTCTGTTACTCGTAAGAAAACTATTGTAGTAGAATCGGTGTTGAAACCGTGATGTGCCACTGCGCTATCAGGCTGATAGTATCAGCGTCTGTCTCCTCCAATATTTCTGTCCCTGGAACGCTTGCTCCTGATCGGCTACTCGCTTGAAGCAGAATGCCTGATATGGCAAACTCCTCAAAAGCTTGAACAGGATGAAATCTTGTATTCCTCCGTTTCTTCACCATCGTGAGTAAAGCTTACCAGATGTAACAGGTCAATGATAGCTCTTTATTATCGATGTCTAGCTCACCTCGAACTTTATCACGATTCTCTCCATTTTCATGGCTCCGCAGTATTGCGGGGTTCCGTCCTGTACTGCAGGTCGCATGGAATCATTATTTCAGGTGTCCAGCTACTTCGCATATGTTGCGTTTACCTAGCTAACCTAGCTAGGTGAACGCAACATATGCGTATAACATAGCCTAGCGTAAGCTAGGGTATGATGAGTTATAGTATACTTTAAAAGGATGATTGCCGAGCCGGAAGTGGACGGTGACAAATCATGAACTTCATAACATGATTTGTCACGAGGTCTGCATGACATGAAAAGATTCAAGATAATGCCGTGTGCGAGATACGCTCCCCTACAGGGCTACATAACCCGTCAAGTGCGACTAGGTTGGCACGCTAGTAGGACGATACGAGCCATATCATGTAGCAGCATTATCGCCCTATGGTGCATAACACAAACTAAAATGGTAGGTTCCCTCCATTCGTTGATGGATCACCAGTAATGAGGGAGAGAGAACGTGAGAGTCGGTTGGAACAAGCAATGGTGGTTGACCAGGGTGCGCGGTGGAAGAAAGAAGATATCCTCTCCTCTCTGTCTATCTTATCTCCCGATAGTTAGACAGAATCGGGAAAGTATCGAAAATTTGAGGTTGCTTCTCGTTGGACAACAAATAGCAGCATAGAACCTGGGCGAAAGCATAAGGTCGACGATCCGATGGCAATGTTCACGAGTGTTCTGTACTAGAGGGCCTTTGACCAGCGGAACACGCGGGTGACGAAGTAGACGACGGGTTTAACGCGCACGAGCTCCTTCGAGTTAGCCACGCACGCTTGCACAAGATGCAGAAAAGAGCCATCTTCTCGGAGAATCCTTTTCTCGAATCGACCAGGAACTCAACAGAGTAGCGCTGTCCTTAGTTCTACATTAGCGTGGCTCATTGATAGCGAGGAGTCGTAGCTCAGCAGGCTATGCTGTGCCGAATGATAATGCCTCAGTCAGCCCAACAATCTACCCGTGCCACATTCCCCTGTTCAGCATCATCATATCCCATATTCAATCATCGATGCCTTACGTCGGCTCCATCGTCATCCTGCTATCTCTGATTGCCTGGGCTGGCGGCCGAATGATTCCTTATGATCCCCGGTCGACGGAACGTGACTGTGATCGGTTTCATCTGTGGGCTGCCACTCCCTTCGGTTCTGCTCAGTCACATCAAAGAAAATCAAGTCGCTCCAGACCGAACTTCAGCAGAACGAAATGAGCAGCACATCTTTCCTGGGCCGCGACAGCGCTCTTTGCGATCCGAGTGTTAAGCAAATACACGGTTATTTTAGTGGCAGTTCTGGAAGGAGGTGATCGTTTCTCGATCGCGATTACCACACACGAGGAGTCGTATTAGACTATTCTTTTGGTTCTTCGAATCTCGCTCCGACCCAGCCCAAGATCCCCTCGTTCTCTGGCTCCAAGGGGGGCCTGGCTGCAGCAGCATGTCAGGACTCTTCACAGAAAACGGACCTTGCAGGGTAAATGAATATGGAAATGACACCAAAACTAACCCGTGAGGAGCACCTCTCACTGACTTTCCTGATGAGAATAGGTTGACTGTCAGATACTCTTGGAACACACGAGCCAACCTTCTTTATGTCGACCAACCTGCAGGAACAGGATTCTCGGTCGGGCCGTTCGTAAACAACGGCTCATTTGAGGCTGCCGACGACTTGTAGGACTTAGATAGATGCTTATCGTATCAATGATATGGAGTCATTAATATGTATGCAAAACTACGTTGGAAGGTACATGGCCCTACAGGAATTCTTCGCTGAATATACCCAGTATGGAGGCAAAGATTTCTACATCACCGGGGAGTCATATGCTGGTAACCGTGACAGATTACCGGAATATCATCCTAACTACTCAGGTCACTACATACCTGCCATAGCTCATAAAATATGGCGTGAGAACACTAAAGGGATCGAGCCTCATATCAACCTTCGTGGACTGGCAATCGGGAATGGATGGATGAATGCCGCAATCCAGTATGCTTCTGCAATGGGGACGTCATGAGATCATTCTACTTCTCCCAGAGTCCTCGACTACCCAGCGATGGCCTTTCACAGCTGTACTGCTCCACGCGTCGTAACGTACTATGAGTACGACATTAATACACAGTTCGTCGTGGATAATTTTCGGTAGGTATGTGAAGATGAGTAGAGCCGTTCATGAGTGCGTGACAAGTATACCTCGCTGCTTGAAGACCAGAAACGTCTCAGGTCCTTTTTGAGAGGGTTGGCTAGTAGTTACATACTCATTGCATTCCTCGAAACCCATATTCATTCGATCTATATGCATGGGAAGGGGAACATACTCCTATGTCTTTTACAGATCCGATTTGCGACGATGCTGCAACCTGCCGCATTGACGCTTCCACTGCAGTTAATGTCGATATGTACGTCATAACTTGAGCAAATTATAATACAAATACTCGGATAATGCTGGCTCGGTCGTGACCATCCCGCCGCATCTCAGATATGATATGAGGAAAAAAAGAACCCTTTCACATGGACGTGAACCGGTGGGTTACTAGTCGTATGGCCTGGGGCACAGCTCTTTCGGCGTTGCTGAATTCATATAAGCTGAGATTCCATGTATCTTTCTTCAGTATGAGATTTATCTCAACAGGAAAGACATACAAAAGAAACTCGGAGTCGACAAGAAATTCAAAGATTGCTCGTTATACGTGAGAGACTTCTCTGAGTCTTGCTCCTGATTCAATTGGAGATCTCAAATTAGGTTGGGAAGTTCTCAATGGACCGCCTAGCACCCTTTGACACACTTCTGCCCGACTTGTTAGACGCTGAGATCAAGGTGAGTTACAGTGGAACTCAAGTCTCAAGTTAGACATAGACTATTGCGCTTGGCCGTCGCTTGGTTGCCGGGATTGAGTTAGTCCAACTCGTGCATCGGAGTTATTGTAATATTGTAATATTCCTGAAAGGTTACTCTTCCCTGTCGGAAAAGCTTACTCCATTGAGTAGTTTCTACTTTGTGGAGGTTCATTTGATTTCGACTGAGCTCCTCAGTAAGGTTCTTTTGTATGCCGGAGATCAAGATTACATATGTAACTGGATTGGTTATGAGCATGTGGCGGATGCGATGGATTGGCCAGGGCGTGATGCATTTCTCGAAGCTCCCCGTTATGAATATGAGGTAGGCATGTACACTGCTCACTGAAGTATCCGCTGCATATCTCTTAGCTCTCCATCTTTCGGTTCCTTGTTGTTAGAGAGATCTGTCTTTTTAGGATGACGATGGTACATCTATTGGTTTACTCCGCAGCATCAGTTGGAAAAAAAGGGAATGTTCGGCTTCTTCCAAGTAGGATGTATTTCACATGCCAGAGCATTTCCCACATAGATATACCGAGCTGGACATTTCGTACCCATCGATCAACCAGAAGCAGCTCATCTCATGATCAGCGACTTTCTCGATGGTACTCTCGGACGATCTTCTAGTAGAGCCGTGATGAGCGAAGGCAGCCCTGAGCTGTAGCAAACTAATAGTCCTCAACTGCCACGGCAGTATGTTCGCCGAACATTGTTCGGGTTTCACGCGCACTTGAGTACTGGTCCATCTGTGTGTACCAAGTAACTATCCTATATCGGCTGTGAGAAACCCTTCTTATACAGCTAAGTCGATGTCTTTGACGTTTCTAGATCGGCGGAACTCGCGAATTTTTTCAAGAAGAAATATCTCAGAGATAGTATCTCTCGTCTCTCTTTACATGTAATTATTTTCAAAGGCTACATTTCACGGAAAACTACTTCTCATCCATTTTCCCCATCATTTCACGTACGAGACCTGTAATTTGTTGAATTCAAAGTAATAATATGATGCCATAGTCTAAGGCCCTTGAGGCACCCCTGCGAACTTGGTTCGATGAAGGGCCCTCATTGAGAATGCGGCAGAATGTCTACCGCATCCTCAATCAATGCTTCACAATCATGATGACGTTGCACTCGAAATGGCCAGCTTGGTATACCTATAGGGGTGGTGTTGTGGCATGTTGAATATATCCTAGGATATTATCCTACTGGAAGAAGCCTCACATTCCTTTTTTCTCGGGGAAAATTCTCCCAACTGATACTGCAGGGGGGAACCAACAGGGATGCCGAAACGTTTCTGGAGGACGAATCTCCAACGGCCTAGGACTCGTAAGATTGTTAGCAGAGAAATCTCAAATTTGCATCGAATCCTTCGGTCAGCAGCGTACACACCTACGCCATATTCATAACGCGGAGCTCTGAGGGATGCAGCACGGCCTGACTAATCCATCGCATCCACGACATGCTCATAACCAATTCAATTACATACGTAATATTGATCTCCGACATACAGAAGAACCTTACCGAGGAGCTGAGTTCAAAAAAAACCGAGAAGATTATACAAGAGAGTTAGACTGATGAATCGACGATATCCTATCTCAATGTGGGCCACAGAGCTGCCGTCGAGCGCGAACCGTCCGTAGTTGCGATTAATAACCAAATAAGGCGGCAGTAGAATATATATCACTCATGTTGAACGACTGAGCCAAGTTTAACCTTGGTGGACAGTGGATTGTCTAGGTATTCAATAGCTATTGTATAGCTGCTATTGTATAGCTGTGTAAGTCAACTGTGCATAACTTGAGAGTCTTAAGTTACACTGTGACTCACCCTGATCTCGGCGTCTAGCAAGTCGGTTAGGAGTGAGTCGAGGGGTATACTTAATCGGTATACGATCCAGCGAGAAGTCTCCAACCTAACTTAAGATCTCTAATTAAACCAGAGGTAAAACTCATCGGGATTCCTTACTGGAGCCGCCTTTGCCGAGGAGTCTTCTGTCAGGAGAGCGGGAGAGGGGTATTCGAGACTTGACGTTTCTCTGTAACCTGAGAATCGAAAAATCTGTGTTTCTCGTTAACGAAGATAGTTTTGAGCTGAAACTTCAGCAGAGCATAGATATAACGATCAGCTATTATATACTTGGATGAAACTGTAATATTCGGAACCGTTACTGATATCTGAAGGCGAACGAGAAAATCATCACCCAGAACCGTGCAACTTTCTCAAGCAACGCAACAAAACGGTCCAATTTCTCTAAGAAATGATCCAAAAACTTCATGATTAATGGAGAAATATGACCAGTATAAGTAGGTTAGTCACTACCCCACTTCATTCTTGCATGGCCGAATGGGCTCGCGGATCTCTGCTTCTTCTTGGATAACCCCTCTGGTCGCTCCGCAGGTTCAGGCCTGCCCACCAGCCTCTCTGATGCCGAAAAAGTAATTAGTGGCTCCATCGGTAAGTCACATGTAGGTTCTGGCCTCTCGAACATAGTGCAAGTCAAATCACTCAGGGTGATTCACTTCGCTGTCCGAGTTCTCATCGACTTCCACCGACCCATCTCTGCGACTTTGCCTTCATCCACGCATTGGTCAAGGTTCTCGACTCGAGGAGCAATTGTGCGCCGGTACGGCTAAGCCGTAACAACTCAGGCTATGCGTGGATATTCGATTATTACTCGGTAGTACCGGTAGTAGTCGGTACTCTACCACTTAGTATCCTTCCGATCACTGTCATGACCCGATCCGTGAGCACCTTCCGGTCGAGTGGGATCACTCTTCCGTCTGTTGGCCTCTCCTCTGCCCATTCCACTAGTCAGTGAAAAGTCGGGGGAACGGGATCCCTTGGTACGCGGCAGCAACACTGACAGTGTTACACTGTTGCTGTTGCTGCAACAGCCGATCGCGATCGTGCTACTCTTGGCCAAGCTGGAGAGTCATCGATCACGCAATGAATATCGCTGCTCTCGCAGCTACTCCTGATGGATAAACCTAGTTCACTAGCGTCACATCTGCCACCGTGAAGGCGAGAAGCTTGCTAACTCTCAGAAAGTCGGATATACCCACCAATATATCAGCATTAACGCCTTGCTTCGAGGGGTCCGATATACTTGCCTGTAGCAAATTGCTACGGCTTGAAAATCCTCACAACTGAGAGTAGCCACTCTCTGCCGCTAGGAGACTCCGGACGACATGATAGTAAGCTACAGTTATGTCATCCTCATGAGTGACTCATGATGAGTCATGATGAGGACGTCTACTTCGCGGACCTCGCAGTTTCCGCGTCGCTGAGGTAATCCAGGAAACTCTCCTGGAGAGAGACAGCGAGTTCCCCCAACGCTTTTCCTGACATCCTGTTAGAAAAGGCAGGTCGTTTGAGAGCTTGTGGTGTGAAAAGACTCGGAAATGAAATCATGAAGCCAACGAGGGCTCATGATTGAGGATGCAGCAGACGTTCTGCTGCATTATTACTTCGAATTCAACACATTTCGAGCCTCAAGTGTGAGATGATAGAGAAAAAATGAGAAAGAAAATTTCGCAAAATGTGGCTTTTAAAAATACTTAGATGAAAAGAAAAGCTATAGCAATCCTCGAAAAAAAAATCATGGGTTGCGCCTATCTGATAACATCTAAGACATTATAAGAAGGGTTTCTCATTGCCGATATAGGATAGTTACTTGGTACACAGTGTGTACTACACACAGATGGACCTCAGTTGCGGTTGTTAGCCGAAACACACCGCCTCGGGGGTTGACGACTATCAGTCAGAGCTCCGCACTGCCTCCGCTCATAACGGCTCTCCTAGGCAATGGTCCGAGAGTACCATCGATGAAATCGTTGATCATGAATTGAGGCACTTTTGGTTGGTCGATCGATGGGTACGAAATGGCCAGCTTGGTACACCTATAAGGGATAAAGTTGTGGCGTGTTGAATACATCAGAGGAAGCCTCACATCCCTCTTCTCTTCCAAGAAGGTTAGCGGCCCTGAATATCGTCATGTTATGTCGCCAATTAATAATCAGGCCCTAATAATTAGGGTCGACGGTTTCAAATACTCTTGAGGATATCATGCCCAGCGATGATGGCATAAATATATAAGCAATGCGAGCAATACAGCAATCGTCATATATAGTGTCATCATACACAAGGTCTTCCGATCATTTCGTGATATTCTTGGATTTGCGGAAGTTTGAAGTCTCTTGTCAACAACCCCTGTTGAGCTATTTCATCAAACCCATATCGCGGCGGTGATTATTGCAGGAGAAGGAGGATCTGCACGATTTGTTTCCAACAAAAGAGCATCAGCAGCACTGAGACCCGCTCCCTCGAAATCTACTAGTAAGAAAATCTAAACTACAATTCCCTCGCGGAAACATATCACATCATTTCGCTGACGCACTCCAATACAGCGCTATCGGAACTCAAAAAACACATAGACGAGTAGAAACAGAATAGATAACGTACGTTGGTAGTGGTAGTTTTACGTGATAAGGCTAAGTGAGGCGAAAGTCAGTAACTCATTCTTCCCCTTCCTCCCCAATATCATCAGCTCGGCGGCTTTTCTCGAGAGCCATAACGTATCTACAACAGGTTTAAAATCAACCCGAGCGGAAAGTAACCATCTAATTTCTTAGATTCGATTTCAATTCGATTCGAGATGCCATCACACTCAATCTCCGAGAAGACGACGACCCGATCAACTCACTCTCGAGCTTTATCCTTCACCAAATCGAGATGATCTACATCGCCATAGGACTGCTCGAAGTTAACCCAACGCTTGAAGAAGAACTTCATTTTCGCTGGCTTCAACCTGAAACTCGGCAGCTCCGGAAACTAATAAAAAGCTTCACTTACTTCAGTGTAACCGCCCGGTCGAACACCGACCGCACCTGGTCTGCATCTTCCTTATTTGCATTGATATGTTCATCCAAATACACTGACCAAATATCAAGCCGTTTCGGTTGAGACTAAAAACAGCTCAAATGATTTCCCAAGATTCCCTGTGAATATCCTTACTGCCAATAACGATTCAAATATCGTCTTGCCTCGTTCAACCGTGCCATACTTGTATTCCAACTTAGCCGCTCTAGTGGCAATCAACGACTGAAAAGAAGCGATTCCTTCGCAGACTAGCATACAACCAATTTACAAACAATGCTTAAATGTTATGCCCAATTCACAATACACACATTCAAGTTTCACGACCCGTTTTACGTAGAGTGACGTCGTACTACTCTGAGAAACCCGATATTCGCGGTGATATGCAGTAGTCGTGAAAATACTCTTCACTAATGTTTTTCATATCACAGTTGTCCGAGAAACTCCATTATCAATCTAAATGGATGAATCTTAGGTTGCAGCTGATAGGATACGGACTAGGTCCACACCAACAGGTCCCGTACGAAGCAATTGATTATTTATCCCTCCACAGCATTACGTGTTTCCGTCTATCTGTCAACCTCAACGCCCGAGGCAAACAATTCTGTCGAGCTTCCGAGAGTTTACCAGTAGAGTACAGGAATCTGAACGCATACCCCATATGGATTCAAAACAGGTTCAAAAAACCTAACACTTACTCAAGATATTTCATCCACACTTTCTTAGAATGCCCGAATTTCTCAGCCGTCCGTTTGTAAGCCTCTAGTGCGAGATCTTCCGCGCCAGCTCTCGCCCATACATCACACATTGCCATGTGACTGAGAGCAGACAGAATTACTCAATTGAGAGTGGCCAAGGAGAAATCGTCCATGTAATTAAAATTTCTTCTGGGCGTTTTAGACTCCTACTGGAGAATTTCAAATAATCAGATAGAGATTCACAAAAGGACGGATTTCATAGCCTATTCCATTCCATTAAGCTCACTCTCTCATAATAATAACCCATTGTACATTCTCTCATGTATAATTTCTATTTTCCCAACTTTTGATACCACTCTTTCACGAACAATTCAAACAATATTAGATCACACATCATTCATCACTCCCTCACCCCCTTGCCATTATTACACTTTCTTCGAGTCATTATAGCTAGCAGCTCTCTTAAAGAGATCCTCAACTCTCTTCAGGGCATCTTTTTTCCGTCCCCCCTCAACACATATCTAAAACAATACACTTCTATTACCCTTTGCTGCTACACCTCTCACATGCGCTTCTAAATTGAGATATGCTATCCACAGATTAAGTCTGTCCTGTTCGTCTCTGAAACCTAGTCGTTGCTTTATACCTGAATACAATACGGGGATGTTGCTAGACGTAAAATTTGCCGTAGGTGTGAGAAGCTTCTAATAATAACAGCGCTTATAGTCTAAGACTGTAATTATATTTCTGCAGTGAGAGGTTACTCCATGAGTCGCTCAGAAAAGAGCATCGTATCTTCCAAGGCGTACACTTCACAACTCCTAGCAACATCATTTATCACTACAAATATACCAACTAATGTAGCTCTACCCGTATTACGAAAAATCAATAATTTTCACGGGTAAAATCAAATCGTTTTTATGTTCAAAATGTGAATACCACCGATTCGCCAATTCATGTAAGAGGGATGCGACTGCAATATCCCCTCCAATTTGCAACCTGATGACTTCACAATCTACTACGAACTCCAACGATTATAATGTTCATTCACTAACAACAACTTTATGAATTTCGTAGATTTTAATTGATGTTATAAATGCATGATACTACCTCTCTCCGCACACTCCCGAGCTCTCTGTATTTCGGCAAGCTGCATCCAATACCCCATATACTGTATCCATACCTCCGATGCACTAGGCATGTCGGGAGTTGACGAAGCACTACATGACATGAGCACCTGACCAAGGTAACCTCAGTAGTAGAAAAAGAACCGCTCTCTTCACGACCCGGGAGGGGCTTCCAAATTCTATTGATTTCGTCCGGTCTCCAAATTGAAATTGAATATATCAACGGTGCCAATAGTGTACAATGATTGATGAGAAAAATAGTTCATAAAAATGTGCATGTGGATGGATTTGAAAGCTCCAAAAAATAATATAAATTTTCACTCGTTCTAATACAATTAAGTTTTATCATGACTATTCCCACATACCAGTCGTTCGAAATCATCAGGTCCCCGAGGATTCCTTTTCCAATCACCACTAGCATTGGCCAACTCAACCTCTCTAGTCTCCTTCTCTCGCTCACGACGCTCCCGAGCCTTCTGACGGGCCGATCTCTTACTACCACTACCTGACCATAGACTCTGCTACCCAGCCGATCTGCATCGATATTAAACTATTATCTAGAATGAATTATAACTCTTATAACTATGAACATGAACATAGACATTATCCCTATCCGACGATACTATAATCGTATAAACTTCCCTACCAGTTTTCTGCTCATCCTCCTTCTCATCCTCACTAACATCACTATCCTCCATAGCGTCATGTGCGGGCTCAGCTGGTGGAGCATCATCATCATCATCTTCCTCTTCCTAAACAGGATCCTACACAATCGCCCTCAAGACTCAGAAGCTACCTCAGCATCATCATTCTCCTCTTCATCATCTTCCTCCTCCTCATCGGCAAACATGTTTGCTTCAGCGAACCCAAACTGACCAACTCCCTCTTCGTCGTCTGAGTGAGGATTTCTAGTATACGAGAGTTACCGCGCGCCACAAAATTCCCGGATGACAACACAATTTGCCCAGAAGAACTGATGGTAACAATTAACGTTAAGTCCGGCGTTAACTCAGTGACCCTTAGTTACCCTCAGATGCACCTTCAACGTCTTCCTCTTCCTCGTCCTCCTCAATAGAAGGGGATGGGGCTTCACTCGTCTGAAGAAAAACACCACACAGATTCGAACCCACGACCATGTTGGAGACAGCCTGACACCTTAACTACCTCAGCAATTTCCTCTTCCATTTCAACATCCTCATCATCATCATCACTCTCTTCCTCTTCTTCAACCTCCTCTACCACAGTCTCATCTTCAGGGAAATACTTCTTCGCCAATCCGATATTAATCTTTCCATCCCCCTTCACCGACAGGATGCGACAACGGACCTTCGTACCGACCTGAACCACGAGGCAATCCAACTAGAATAATATCAACAACAACTTAGAGCCAAAGAGCATCTCCACTCGAGGCGAGCTAACGATGATTAAGATGACTAATAGACCACCGTAACTATACAAGTGTCGTGGATGAAAATGCTTTATTCCCACTACCTTATAGCTGCCGACAGCTTCCTTCAACGCCTTAGCATCCCCCTTGCCGTCAAATAGGTCCTTAGCAGAGCAATGACCATGTTGACCTCCCGTCCCCGAGATTCGAACCTGTGCCTCATGACATGCACAACCAAACTGACCAGAGTCAACTCCCTTACGAATAAGCCCTTCCCTTCCTTGTCCTTTCTAGACACTTGACCGTACATAATAGCACCCTCCTCAATTTCTGTAATCTGACTCTTATCCTTGTTCACAATTGCCAGACCAACCTTAAAAAAAGACATGTGAAAATAATCAATGACGCTTCGCTCCGTCGTACCCTATTCTTCGTCACGTCCACTGAAGTAATTGCTATGTCCCTCACAGAGGTACCCACAGGATATCTGGACAAGTTCAAGAACAGATGGTAAGAGTAAGTTTGCGTGTCTATATTACAATTTGCCAGCTTCCTCAGGAGTGACCGGATGCTCCGCGACGTTGCCGAGCAAAACACGACCGGTCAGCCACGGTGAAAGTGCGACGAAGACTCCCGAAGAGCTCACGCTAGCTACATATCCAGAGACCTGATGCAAGGTCTTCAAATGCCTCTGCCAGGGATCGAACTCGGGTTACCTTCCCTCCTTCCTTGAGGTCTTTGGCTCCCTTAGGAAGACCCTTCACATGAGCCCGGCTGATCGACTTGAGGCAGAGCTCAGTAGGAGTACGGCCACTACCGAGGCTGACCACCAGTAACGCCGGTGCTAGCATACCCGGTGTCAGCGGAGACAAAGGACTAAAGGCAAAACAACAGTCATTCTAGCCGCATAGTAGACCAACAGTACAGATACCCGACGACCCCTGGTTCGAACCCTCCAAGCCTTACTTTGCCCTCCAATCATCACATGCCATAGTAGCATGAAGCCTCCCCTTATGACCACCAGGGAGCTCCACTATACGCTGGATCGCAGCCGACTTATGGCTGGATACTCGAGCGGTAGTAACCACAGAGCCCTCCTTCACCTGAATGATGATGCTCTAAATTACATACCATCCATCTCTCACATCATTACCTCCTCCACAGCAGTGAGCTCTATCTTCTTCTTAGTGACCACCTCAAAGGCCCTCACTTCCTCACCACTTAGCAGATGTCCAGGCTTATACTCCTCCACAGCTTTGGGCAGGTCCACAGCACGCAACTTGCCCAGCATCACCTAAAGCCAATAATCATTATCATTCCGCAATCCCTCAGTGAACTCACCTTGCAGTAGTTGCTGGAGGTATCATCATGGTCACCAAGATGCTGACGGAAAAATCTAGAAAATAATAATCGATCCGTTTAAGCCACAACATATAACACCAACATACTTAGCCTTCTGCGCCTTAGTCATATTGCCCAACTTGCCAGCCTCCAACTGCGTATGTGAGCTCATCTCCACCCCAGGAATGTCGACCATGATAAACATCTCATCGTCGTTCACCGAAGAGACGGCGCAACCAACCAAAGGAGCCGCACAAAGGGAAGCTGCATTCCACTTGTACAACTGGAAAAACGATGGAGAAAAAACGGCCCAGCTTCCTAAGTACCACCTACCTTGCAATCTTCCTTATCCTTCTTCGGATCTCTCACGCTGATGTTCCACTGATTGGCACCACTAGCCGAGAAGGCCGTCACATGAGATGAACCCACCACTCGCACAGAAACAACCGAACCAACAGGGTACCTGCACACATGGTTAGTCTCCACTGTTATCATTATAGAGGTCGCC